GGTCTTCACCGGGGGCTGTGTTCCTCTTGGCTGCCTGAGCTGCTGCAAAGACCTCCTCCTTTGTTATCGGCTCATCTAGTTTCTCATTTCTAGCTCCGCTGTAACTCATGTGAATAGCCGAATTACGTGGTGGACTATTGCCAATATATCTCTCCTTGAGGGCCTTCACGAGGTCGTCGTCTATGCCCGGAAATGTTTCTGCGATTTTCTGCAGTGTTCTGCTTGTCGTGGATTTGGACTTATCTGGATCAAGAATATTTCTTAGGATAGACCAAGTTTTCATGGTGCTCAGTGTGTTCTGAAGCGAACTGCAGAACTTGACCCATCCCTCGGTAGCCAATTCGCTTGCATAGTCGTTTGCCTCCTCTGCAAGAGCAGCGATCCTACGCAGTAGTGTCCTATTCAGGCGTTGACGTTTCCAACGCTTTAGTAGACTGCGCCTGCTCTCCCATAGGTGTAGCAGACGGCTGTCTACTGCTGGCGTCTCTACGGTTCTGGCTATTTTCTTCGTAGTGATGGCGTGTACCGACTTTATGTAATCCAACCATGCCTTTATTGAGTCCGGTACACAGTCGGGTGGAGGATCTCGTTTCCTAAACTCAGTCCAATCTGTGATCGCTGTGTCGCCTATCAATCTGCGCATTTTGGGTGTCGATATGGAGACGCTTATAATGTAATCGTCGCTTCCTAGATTTTTCCCCAGGTTTGTCCAGGATGCGTCTTTAAAGTTGAAGGTGAAAGTGAGGTCCGGGAACGTGTCTCTACATACGCTGTTCGCCACTCGCGTGGGCGCGATTGGGAGATTTATTAAACTCAGGCCCGGCCTAGACGCAGCATGTTCGAGACGCGTTCCCTTCGGCGAGTCTTTTGGGTAACCCCATGTGGTGCTGGGTGCGTTAAAATCACCCAAAACCAATAGGCGGTCCTTGTTGCCTGCGGTTTTAACCGTCTCAGCAAGGAGCTCATTGAAGTCTTTGCCTTAGTCTTATGGAGGACTGTATAGATTCCCTATTATAGTCTTCGCTTTGCCTCTCTTTTGGGGGAATAAACTGATAATTTGGTGATTGATCTGTAGCGTTCCTATGTACTCATCTGTTGCCGCAGTCATCTTGCTCACCAGCGTCGCTACGCGGGGATAATTTGGGTTCTGAAAAACATAATAACCCTGGAGCTTCACTATTTTGGCATCAATTTCTTGCAAGCATATAACGTCGGGTTTAATTGGTGCCACATTGATATAACTCTGGAGTGCTGCGGCGCGTTTGTGAAAAGTGCGGCAATCCACTGCCAGATCTCTAATTGTTCCACACTTCTCTGGTTATTTTTGGCCATGATGCATGGGTGCTTCCGCGTCGTCGCGATTCCCCTTAGATTGTTTGCTATTTCTAGCGGAGGTCGAGCGAGAGCACTTGTTTATCGCCCTTTGCAAGCTGCTCACAGCGTCATTCACGTACTGCCTTTGAGTTTTTAGTTCCTCGCCCACAAAAGATTTTATCTCATTCATGAAATCGACTAGCAGTTTATTAACATTAGCTATACCTTCCCTGTTTTTGTCTAACTGCGCTTGTATTTGCTGCGTTATTTGGTCGTGGTTTTTTACTGTCGTGGTAGGGGTGGTTGTACCTGCGTACACCATCTCTTCCTCGACTTCAGCCGACGCCGCGCTGCCCCCCGAAAAAGTTGGTTTTATTGACTATTGATATGTCGTTTTCTGACTACATCCTCCAGCTATTCCTGTCGGGTTTTGTGGTCGTAGTTTAGCCTCTAGCCGTCTCTCTAATGAAGATATTGCTGCCTGTAAGTTATTTCGCTCTTCGGCCATTTGTTTTTTTAGCTGTTTGACCTCTTGAGTCAATCTCTTATTTTCTTCCAATATTTTCTTGTATTGTGGATTTTCTGTTATAGGAGCATTGGAAGACACTTCCCCCGCAAAGCTCACCTGATTTATGTTTGTCCGGCCGGCGGCTAGGGCGTCTTGTGATTCCTCGCAGGAACCCATCTCGGCCGAGAGGTCCGCGATGCTTTCGTTGGTTCTTTAAGCTGGATTTTCCAAGGGCCAGAGGTGCCGTGTTAGTGTGATGTTGTCTGTCCCTCCTTGAACGAGATCTTGATCGTGACCTTGACTGGGATTACAATCGGGACCGTGAACTTGACCTTGACTGGCACTGTTCCTGCCGGTCCGAGCTGAACCATCGAGGCATGCCCAGCCTTAGTGGAGGGGATTTTTCGGACGACTTGGCATCGCCACTACATTCAGGTTCGCCTACCCAGCCTTTTGGCTGATCTGTCCTCAATTTCTTGAGAGGAGTGACGTTCTTAAGTTTTATCTTGCACAGACTATCTCCTGTGGGTTGTTCACCATCACAGATGACGCACTTGGGGATGCAGTCGTGTCCTTGCATTGGTTCTCTTGCCCCGCACCTGAGGCATACATTGACATTTGGAGTTGGACAGACGTCTGTACGGTGTCCGGTTAGGAGACATATCTTGCGCACCTGTACTGTTCGCTTGTATGGGTAGCATATTAACTCGGCACCCATTATGTATACATGGCACCCATTATGTATAGCACATTACCCGTGAATGTGATAATTGACGTTTTAGAGGAGCACAACATTCTTGCTCTCTCAATATTCATCCCTTGAGTCCGAACACGTAGGTTCTCCACTAGTTCATCTTGCGAAGTCCCGGCCGGTATTCCATGTACAATTCCTCGTTAGACGCATTCAGGATCGGCCACCTATGCATGAAAGCGTAAATTGGTCCCATGATCTTTAGTTGACAGATACCTCACAGCCTACTCGCTACCTTCATGCTTGGCGTAGATAGGATTACAATGTTTGACCCTGGGTGAACTCGCAACAGAAAGTCATTGCCATTGAAACTTCATTGGCAGGCATCTATCACAGCCCTGGAGAGTTCCAGTCCCAATATGTTTTTAACTCAAAGACCCTTTTATGCGGCCTCAGAACAATCTTGATGTCCTCTTTCGCTAGAGCACGTGGGCCGCGTCGCTTTCTCCGTCGGAAACCCTGCGTGAATTCACGTTTTTGTTTTTCGGCAGGAGGATTGCTTTCCAATTTCTCGTTGGCGTTCACAGCCTCCTACATCTGGAATTGCTGCTTTTTTAACTGTTTTTTTTTCTTTTGCCTGCGCGATAAAACTGTATGCCAGGCATCCTCAGTCCATCCACGGCGTTCCGAACAAGTCGCGTCGCCAGTCTCGTTTCCGAGAGTCGCATCAACAGACGCTGGTTCGTCATCCTTTGCCTGCCGAGACGAGACGCCACTTGCGTCCTTGTCAGCGGTGAGTGATTCCGGTGCCCGAGAAGGGCCGGGATAAGCTTCGTCAACTTTCATATGGCAAGAAAAGGCGATCAGCCCAGGGCAGGCATGCTTGGCAGAATAAAGGAATAGTGACCACCGCTCCTGTCAAGCTAGTCGGAGTGCTTAGGCTGGCGCAGCTTTCCCGCCGGCATTTTGTCGTGTCACAAAACAGGTCAAGAAAGTGAGGTAAACATCGCTCACCTTCGATCTTTGTCCCGTGGCAGCAAAGCAAGTGTTCAAAGTTCACTATCTGCTAGTCTGTGCTCCCACAAACACACAACACCGTCGTGTTCCGCGCGTCGGAGTGCCTTCCGGGGCGCGCGACGCCGGCCGTGGTCGTTAAGATGAGCGTCTCCACAAGGTCATCCAATCTGCCTGCGATGGTTTCTTCTCGTAAAGTTGATCCTGGCCCAATCTTTGGGTATCCGTGGAATCAGGAGAACTTCTCAAAGCAGACTATAAGATTGTTAGATGAGTTTGCGTGAAATTGCTCTTAGAAAAGCTTCGAGAAAGCGGAGCGCAGTGTGAACATGTCTTCACAGCTTGGCGCCTCCTGGCGGTCTCTCTGCTTCTTCGAAAAACTTCTGCTGCGGGGTCCAGGATGGCAAATTACCCAGCACCGCTCCACCAAAGCTGTTACAAATGAGATGGGTTTATTTACACTGAAAATGCCAGCGCTCAACCGCTACTGCCGAATCACCATCGCTCGAGAGCATCCTACCGCCTCTTCTTTCTTGCTCTTTCAGTCCGCATTACAATATATATATATAAATATAAGGGAAATAAGTGTATACTTAAGGGCTTGTTTTTCGTCTTTTGATATAAGTATTATGCAGGCCCTGATACTGTAGGAAGATATTTGAGTCACGACGTACATTCTAGCAGTTTAATCTAACATTTCCACTGTGGGACCAGCCTTCATCTGGGAAGGCTGGTCTCACAGCCGAAACGTCGAATCGAAGTGTGCTGGAATGTACATCAAGGCTCAAATACCTTCACACACACACACACACACACACACACATATATACATACATACACACTCAAACCTATATCGTAACGGGATATAACGAAGTAAATGAACTTCCCCTTGAAAACTCCATTGAGAACCATTCATTTAGAACCTCGTAACAAACTAAAATTGAATGGTAAATGGATATAACAAGCTAAATTAGTCTATCAAATAGTCTATAAAAAATGACCATAGCGTGTTAAGTATAGCGTTTTCTGCAGAGTTTGACGCTCGTTCGGCGCGGCTCTTTCAAAACTCCCGCGCCGACTTACAGCCACGCCCCGCACGGTCGAGAGAGCCGTCCTCCTCACACAGCCAGCGGAGAGGATTGAGGAAGTGCTCAGCGCGTCACATGACTGAGAAGCGGCGCCGCGGTGCAAAGCGATTTTCCTCTCGACGGCAACGACTGCGTCTCCGCTGCTACCTTGACTGCTTACTCTGCGCCGAAAAAGGAGGACTCTCCGCAACAGCTTTTTTTTTTTTTTTTTTTTTTTTGCTCTCTCTGCGCGCACGGTTTTGAAAGGAGAAGGGTCTCTATGGGCAGAGACGGAAAAGGGAGAAGCGTGGAACAGGCGCGCCGCAGATCGGCATTTGAGAGAGAGCAAACAATTTGCCACAGTCTTTTCTTTCCTTTTCTTCTTTTCCTTCTTTGTGCGCAGCGTTGAGAGGTGCCACCGCGGGATTGGCATGGTGCTGAGAGCATTTTCGGAGCGTGGTATGTTCGAATTAACCGTCGCAAGTGCTTACGCGTTCGAATTACAGGGTGTTTTCGCCCATTGGAATACACATAGCTTTGACGGGACCTCAGCGTGAGTTTGAATTACCCGAAAGTTCGAATTAATGAGATTCGGCTGAGTTTATTTACATCAATAACAGTACCTTCAATTTCGTTATAACAATGTCTGAATGTGTGTGTGTGTGTGTGTATATATATATATATATATATATATATATATATATATATATATTTATTTATTTATTTATATTAGGCTTGTGCGAATGGTGATTTTGATCAAAAAATTTTGAATCGAATTTGAATGGTATGTATGTCATATAAAAAAAGGCAATATTTATCATGACCTAACTGATCTGCACATCATTTCTTTTGAATTGAATAGGACTCTAGGCAAATTTCATTTTTTTTTCGTTCAAAGAAGTTGAAACAACCTTGAATAATAGTTTGGGTAAAATGCGAGTGATAACCAGTAAGATACTTAACATTTTAAAATTTTACTGTCGCATAGTTTTTAGAATCAGTCCAGTATGAACGGAGTTCTGAAAATTTGTCGCACGCTGCAATTGCATTCTCTCTTCTTGTCCCGACGAAATAGGCGGAAGCTAAACAGGGAGCACAAAAAAAAAAAAGCGTCACACGCACCTCGTGACCTTGAGCACATTTTTTTTTTTCTTCAAATATGCGGATGTTCAGTGCGATCGCTCATATACTTGTGGACAAGCGGCGGCCTCCTATGGTGGCCCTGGTAACGACGAGCGCGTCATGTTTAAATCAGCCAATGGCTGTGACCAGAGCTGTATATTACTTCTTAGCTGTGACAAGTGATTTTCGAGCTTGCAGTGTCATTTGCCAAGGGAAAAAAGCAATTTTTCGCTTTGAAAATTTATTGTGAATTACAGGCCGCATGCTGTGCTATAATGTTTGCCTCGCATGTTTTCGGTAGCCTCTACTAATAATCGGCAGCGTTTTCTGACCATGCTCAGTAAGTGTTGCAGGGCCCCTTTAAATTTGAAGGGGGCTTTGCGGCAAAGCGAATTTTCTCTGGATAGGGGCTTTCGCGGCTTAGCACCCCTACATTGTAGTAAAAGCATTTTACAGGCGGTTACATGCAACTAATATACAGCTATTCGTTCATTGTGAATACTTCGAAAATATTCAAAGCATTCGAATATTCACACAAGCCTTATTTATATATATATATATATATATATATATATATATATACACACACACACACACACACTCACACACACACACACACACATACGTAGCGGGGAAAGAAGCACTCTGTCTGCGTAGTAAAAACTAAAGCGAGAAAGCTTGACATATGTTGAAACACTTTTAATCACAATTGTTTTGGCTGGGGAGCCAACCTTCGTCAATGTGATATATATTATATAATCAATTTGGGCTCATTTATAGTATTCCGACTGTCAGTTTCCAAATATGCTTACGGTGAGGGATTAGGCTTATAATAATTAGGGGAGAACTTTGAAGAGTCAGGGTATTTAAAAAAAATCACATTAGGAGATGCCTTGGCCACATTTGTGAGGGGCCTTGGTTATTTACAGCTTGGCATGTTATCAGGCATGGCATGTTTTGAGCAACTCATGATAGCATCACATCGCAGTTCATGTAAACTTATCTTTGCCATAGTACAATGCTATGCGGGGCAAAGTATGTGAAAAGGCCAGTATATTTTGCTGGTTATCGCAGGCTCTTCTGCATGCTTGTGTAATTACATGTGTACGCTGCAATTATGAGCACTGGTAAGATTGCCAGAGTGTAAAAGCATTACTGTAATCAGTCAGAGCTATGATGCTCCTGTGGCCCTGAGAAGCAAAAAATTAAAAGGTGGGCATCCTCCCTCCCCCTTCCATGCCATTTTCTGCCATCTCATTTTGTGAATCTCCTGATTTTCAAGGTCTGTAGGTTTGCAGGTATGCTATTGTTCATGTTTTACAGCATTTTAACAATGCACATGTATTCAATATTGAAAGACAGTCTTTTGGCATATTCATATTTATGTAGATAATATAAAGATTTCAGTACCTATACGCCCCTATTTTTATTATTTTCAGCCTTTGAAAGTACAGTTGCCATCGGACAGCCAATTTCTCTTATTTTCCTTGATACTGAGGGTAAGTGCACTCTATTTCACTATGACTAATGGGCAGAAATTTGTCGCTGCTATTCAATGATTCAGGAGAAGTCATGTGTAAGGTGCGTTCATTAAAGTGCGCCTACATGATTTCTTGAAGTGGGTAGTGGTGCTTTAGGTAATTGTGAACAGCTCCAACAATTTGGTTAGCGTCCTAAATCCAAAAACTTACTGGAGTAGTAGCAAAGTTGCTGGAAACATGCCCATTTGCAGTAGAAGTGTTCTACTTTAGCTGAATATCAGTCCTTTTTTGTGTGAATTCTGATTTCTAGATTCTTTTGTGCCAAGATTATGTAGTATCTCAGAACAAGTAGTAGTTTACTCTTTTGCAGATCAAGATTTTTTGCACAGTACTACCAGAATTGTCAGCAACAGCTTTTTTTCTTGCCAGTCATGATCGCTTGCAAGATAAGGAAGAGCAAGTTCTGTTTAGTGCTATCACCTTTGCCACTGCTGGTGCTTGCTACATGACATCACCTAATTTCCCCAATTGGGTGCTAATGCTTAGGTAGTACAGGTTTATCATAAAAGAAAGTAAGGTGTGCAAGCATCAACACAAGAGAATAAGACAACACTAATGCCTACTGTCAACTTAACCCCTTAACTGCTTTGAACGAGCAGAGCTCGTCCTGCCCAAACTGTCGCCAAACTGCTTTGGACCAACAGAACTCGTTCTAGTGGAATAGGTACTCCCCTCTAGCGTTCAGGCGGAGAAGCACGCATTTACGGCTTACATTGCGTGTCATCCACTAGATGGCAGCGTTTGCTTGATTATTCTGTTTTCTCTTGGAGCAACAGCACGGTTTTTGTATGGAAAGACGGCGTGCGGGGGGCGGAGACCCATGCATAGTTGGCCCATGATTACGAAAAAGAAACTATTCGTTTTCGTAATCTTCTGTGATGATGATTCGAGTACAGGTATTTATCTTGTGTTCGGAAGTGAAGACAGTGATGACAGTGAATTGAATAGCTTCTCTGGTGATGATGAAGACTGCTCGGATGCAAACACTGCAAGTGCCCGCCAGTGCAGCCGCTTAGCGTTATTCCGAGTTTTCAAATTTTCTACATAGCCCCAAAGCTTCCCAAGTAACATACCCCAAGGGTGCTTAGCCTACAAAAGCGAACAAAGATGTGGTGTCTGGAACTGTTTGGTTTATAAAGTTTTTAAATATTATTAGCAGCAGTTAGCTGGTGTCCTAAATAAACTTTATTCCAATGATTTGACTAAGTATATGGTGAAAATATTTTTTTCAACATCGACTAAGTGCTTTTTAGTACAATCAGATTCGAAATCAGCAATAAAAAGAATAGGTAGTTTTTGACTGGAAATTTTCAAATGAAGATGAGCAGTTAAAGGGTTAAAGGTGTGTTCACCCTGAGCGCGGATCTGAAAAGCTGACACGGATTATCCACCAAAGCAAAAAAAAAAAAAAAAACTGTGCTTGCTTGCCCAGATCGGGCCCGGAACAATTTGCTCTGCATGGAAAAGTTGCCCACTTTAGTTGTAGCTAGTCGGAACCCGAGACGCGCATGTGCAGTATTGTGTAGTATCACAGCAAGATGGCGACACGACCACTGTGGATGGGTGGATTGCTCCGCTTTTAAAATCCGCTTGCCCACTTGCGTGCTCCATGTGAACATTCCTTAAAGGGCACATTGTAGCAGAAAAGAAAGTAGATACAAAGCTTGTCTGTACATATGCAGGTATGGCAGCACCAATCACACACACACACACACATTGTGTTCTATGCAGTATAAATGTTCAAGTTTTTTTTTTTTTTTTGATGAAAGTTGATTAAAGGCTGACTCACGCATCTGCTTTCACTGCTATCGACATTTTAAGCCTCAACCACAGAGATCCGTTTTCTTCATTCTTATGCACTGCGTATTCATTGAACATAGGTGTGCATTTACCAAAAAATATTGAGAAAAGTTGAGCCTCTAGTTAATAAGCTCTTATGCTCCATTATTAATCTTTGATTAACACTGCGGCCACAGCTAGAAGGAACCTTACATTCCTTACGAATACGGCAGCTTCGGTTTGTGTGCGTGTTTAACTAAACAAATATTAGTTCACCTTTTGTTTTCCACTATTTAACCACTTTATAGCAGACATTGATGTTAGAGCTGGTTATGAGGCACTACTGTGGCCAACATTCAAAATGGGGTCTCTTGGAAAATGAGAAGTGGTACCCTGCTTATAACAGAAACCTCATGTAAGGGGCAATAACTCCCTCCAGGTGCATGTTTCTATCATAAAGCGATTCAGCTGTACCTGCTCTTCTTTTTTCTGCAGAGAGGTGCATGTCTTTTCAGCTACTGGCAGCTATAAAAGCAACGCTAATGCCATATCTACTTCAGACTTATTTAGCCTGTCCATTAAGGAATATGTGTAAGGAATAGCTAACAGTCACTTCTTGTTATTAGTACATTCAAAACACCCTCGAAAGGCCCTCTTCATTGCTGAGAAGGGTGAATGGCTGAGTGAGGAACTGAAACCAGCTGAATCGGGTCTCTCTATGCCCTGTAGCTTCCTATTACAGCACTTGTTGGCGAATTCTTGCGGCAGCATGTTCACATCGGAAAAGTGCACAGTTATCTCTCTACGACATATTTGGACTGTGATGTTGTATGCTGGCCCTTTATATGTGAACAGCTCAAGAAGTTAAGACAAACAGGCCACCAGCATATCTATTTGATACTAAGTTTGCATGACAGAAAATGTATTGTAACGAAAAAGAATGAATGATACAGTGGGTCGCCCTCTCTGCTGCCACGTAGTAGGTTTGTCTGTCTCCACCGCACATTGCACGTGAATGTTGCCCAGTCTTGGGTTTCGTGATTTGAGCCATTGATCAAGCGACTGGTCGACTCTAACGCAGCATTTCATGACTCCTTTACAATATACCATAAAAACTCGAGCAAGCCCCCTTCCCCCCTCTGGGTGAAAGACAATTTGACAAGATTTGGAGGAGGGGCCTCTAGCTTGGTCATGGAGCCAAATTCAAGGCACAGAGGAAAAGCTGCTATGAGTAATGCACCTCGGGGGTCTAATGAAAAGCTTATTGAGTATGCAAGCATTCACTCTTTCCAAAATAGTTAATGAAACAGTGAAAACTGCGAGAGGGGAGGATGGGGGACACTTGATCTGTCATAGGTTCATATTTGAAACCTCCCGAAAAGAGAGCAGCACTTGCTTGGGTGGTGGTGCTTCCTCAGGATTTCACGGTATATTGCTGGTATGACTGAAGAACTTGTAGTTGTATGTTTGGTTTTTGTGAAAAGTTTTAGTTTTTGTGGGTGCCATCATTGGCCTCTCTATATTTCTTTGTGCCCACTCAATGAACATAGTGTATTCTTGAAACTGATTTCAGGCTTCGCAGCCACCAATGTATCAGAAAACTACGATGCCAAAATATTTGCTATTGCTACTCTGATCAGTTCACACCTGATTTATAACTCTGTGAAGATCATTGACCAAAGTGAGATAGATTACCTGGAACTCTTGTCAAGGCGTACACAGGTAAGGAATTTGTGCTTTGTTCTAAAGAAATAATAATTTAGTGGCATTCTGAAGCTTCACTGATTTTAAAATGTTCTATGTGTAATAGGCATCATAAGCTCAGGTTCTCTGACTTGTCCCATTTATAAATTGTCATTTCTAGCATAGTGAATGTGATGTTTGATTTGTCTTTATGATTAAGTAATTAAATTTAAATGCTGTTGCATAGGCAGGCATAGAAGCAAGGGTGTCATTTGAGAGGCCTCTTGTGTGGCAGGTGCCAACATCAAAATGCCTGTGGTATCTCTTTATTAGACATCTGTACCGGTGACTTAATTTTAATACACAGTGTATATATTGTTACGTAGTCTTGCGACTAGCGCACCAGAAACCAGAAGATGTTCTTGGAGGCAGCCACTTTAGTTCACCGGACAGATGCCCAAAATTTCCGGTGGTAACGCCGACAAGTGTTACTGCTGGTGGGCGTAACGGGAATACCGCCGCTTCATGCTGCGCGCTCTTCTTAAACAAAACATGTACAATGTGACCCTTCTTATCGATATGTCACACAAAAAGTGATACAGAAAAACAGTGAGCACAGGTCACTGTGTGCAACGAAACAAACAGATGCAACAAACAATAGCACGTCTGCAGTGACCAACTGCAGATGTCACGTGGCATTGCCCCTCTTTTAACAGACATCGTCCTGATGTTTAAACTAAGATGAAAGACATGATTTCGCAACAATGTTGTGCGAAATTTAACATGAACAAAGAAACATACAAGTCGAGCATTAGTGTGTTAGTATCAGCATTCATGGTAAGGTTTTAAACGCACGACATAGACCACTTCGGAGCGCAGGTGATGTCGTTGTGATGATGTGAGGTCATCGGGGACAATGTCATAATCCAGAGGGCCAAGTCACCGTAAAATCTTGTGTGGTTTGAAGTAGCGATGCAGCAGTTTTTCACTGAGTCCTTGTTTTTCGAATGGGAGTCCATACCCAGACGTGGTCACCAAGTTGATACTGTTGTCGCTGCGGCGTAGATTGTAGTGCCGGGTGTCGGCTTTTTGCTGGTCTTGAATGCGAAAACGGGCTGATTGCCAAGCCTCTTCTGCTCGCTGCAGGTAGACAGAGATGTCAAAGTTATCTTCGTCAGTCGTGTTTGGGAGCATGACAGCGAGCATTGTCACGGGTTCTCTTCCATAGAGTAATTTAAATGGCGTCATCTGTGTCGCTTCCTGCACTGCAGTGTTGTATGCAAAAGTCACGCAGGGTAAAACTGCGTCCCAGTACTTGTGCTCAATATCTACATACATAGACAGCATATCGGCAATGGTTTTGTTCGGACGCTCAGTGAGACCGTTTGTCTGAGGGTGGTAAGCCGTTGTCCTGCGGTGGCTTGTGTGGCTGTAGAGCAGGATTGCTTGCGTAAGTTCAGCCGTGAACGCCGTCCTCCTATCAGTGATAAGCACCTCGGGTGCCCCGTGTTGCAGTACAATGTTTTGACGAAGAACTTGGCGACTTCTGCGGCGCTGCCCTTGGGAAGAGTCTTTGTTTCGGCGAAACGAGTGAGATAATCAGTTGCCACGACAGTCCATTTATTGCCATTAGCAGACGTTGGGAACGGTCCGAGAAGGTCTATTCCAATCTGCTGCAAAGGCCTTGAGGGTGGTTCAATGGTCTTTAAATAGCCAGCAGGTTTCTGGGTGGGGGCTTCTTGCGTCTTTGAGTCTCGACAAGTTTTTACATAGAGTGCCGTGTCGGCGATGAGACTGGGCCAGTAGTATTTCTTTTGAATTTTTGCCAGTGTGCGGGTGAATCCGAGGTGACTTGACGCTGGTTCATTGTGGCAGGCGTGCATAATTTCCGTGCAAATTTCCGTAGGCACGATAAGTAGGAAACTTGCCTTGTTTGGGGAAAAGTTCTTTTCACGAGAACGTCGTGTTTAAGGCAGAATGAAGATATACCATGTTTGTAAGCTCGCGTGCATGTCTGGGTCGTCGCTTCGCTGTTGTTCGGCAAAATTTGTAGCACTGATCACTCCGAGAAAAGACTCTCATCTGCATTTTGTGCGGCAGCGTCGATGGGTGCACGAGAAAGGCAGTCGGCATCAGAGTGCTTGCGTCCAGACTTGTAAACGACCTTGATGTCAAACTCCTGAAGCCTCAAGCTCGAGCTTGTTAAGTGGCCTGACGGGTTTTTCAGATTTGCAAGCCAGCAGAGTGCATGGTGGTCAGTTACCACCTTGAACAGTCGTCTCCTATGACTTCGCATTGTTCGTTGGTGCCAAGCACGTGCTGAACTTCTTCTCTTAATACAGTACTGAGAGACGACAGCTGTGTTTGCGAAGTAGGAAACAACTTACACAGTTCCTCCTGGACGACGGCTCTAATTACGTTTCTGAGGCTATCGTCGTGCCCAATGTTACCTCGGGCATTACTTTCCATCGAGGTCATTGATAGCTGGTCATAGTGCCTGGCACACATTTGCAGCGACTTTTCAGTGTGGCTGGCTTACTTTATGAAGTCTTCAACTGTAGAGGGAGTGTTCCGTAAAAGGCCAGCAAAAAAGGCTTTCTTTTACGCCCCTCATGAGGAAACGCAGCTTCTTGTCTTCCAACATTATCGGGTCTGCTCTGTACAAAGCTGGTGCATTTCTTCGACATACATTAGGACAGACTCGCCGGGCTGTTGCATGCTCGTTTGAGGTAGCAATTCGGCGCGCTCCTTACTGTTTATCGCAGGGAAATGAGTCCAGGAGGATATGTTTGAATAGCTGCCATGAAGACAAGGATGCTTCACGGTTTCAAACCACACCTTGGCGGAGTCTTCCAATGCAAAAAAGGTATGCCGAAGCTTACTCTCCTCGTCCCACTTGTTGAGGCTAGCTACTCTTTCGAACTTGACAAGCCATTCCTGGGCATCTTCCCACGGTGAGCCATGGAACTTTGGCGGCTCTCTTGGCTGCTGAAGGACTATAGGTGTCGCGGTTGGGTCGGTCATGCTAGCTTCTCTCTTCTTCATTGCCATTTCGGTAGCAAAAGGATTGAACTCCGAAGGCAAATTTGCAATCGCCAATTTGCTCCCTGGCTGATGGCAACACCGACTGCAGGCGCATGAGGGGGGCTGGTGCTCCGGCTTCTAAGGTGGGACTTGGGCATGGGTCGGCAGCACCTCCACTAAATGTCACGTAGTGTTGCGACTAGCATACCTGGAGCCAGAAGACGTTTGGGAGGCAGCCACTTTATTTTGCCGGACAGATGCCCCAAATCCCTGGTGGTAACGCTGACAAGTGTTACTGCTGGTGGGCGTAACAGGAATACCGCTGCTTCGTGCTGTGCGCTTTTCTTAAACAAAACATAAACAATATGACCCTTCTTATCGATACGTCACACAAAAAGTGATACAGAAAAACAGTGAGCACAGGTCGCTGCGTGCAACGAAACAAGCAGATGCAACAAATAATAGCGCGTCTGCAGTGACCTGGCAATATAATTATGCCGTCTTTATTTTATTTATTACATACTGCAGACCCTTAGATCTGCAGTATGTAATAAATACAATAAATAGCTCTAGCTTGGTGATTTGTGGGAAAGAAAGCCACGGGGGATAAAATAGACAGCTGGCCAAACACGCCACTTCGCCAATGCAGCGCGCGTGCCGCAAAGTTGCTCGAGTTGCTGCCAATTCTTTGCAAGGTGGCAGCAGGAGTACTCTAGGCTGATTTATCCGCTTTGGTTTTTTTTAATGTGCATAACCAACGTGCGTTGCGAGCATACAAAGTGCATTTTTGCGAGCATACAAAGTGCGGTTTGAACCGACTAGTGTCGGTTCAAACCGGCTGGAACCGGCAACTAGCGGCCCATGAGCTTGGCGACCAGCGGCCCATGAGCTCAGCGACCAGCGGCACATGAGCTTTATGCGAACCTAGCGGCGGCCACGAGCAACTCGAGCAGTTCAGTGGCGCGCTGCCGGCGCTCCTTTGGCCACCTGTTATATTGTTCCATCGTTAAAGAAAGCCCAGTAATACTAGGTGTCTTCCATCAAGACATCTGTGCCAAACTTGTAGCGAGCAGGTTGCAGTGCTCGTGAGCTGTTTGGGGCAGATGTGCAACCATCCTTTATTTCTTCAGCTGCTGTGTTTCCATCAGTTATGTAGGGCGTATTCTGCATTTTTTAGTTGTGTATGGTTTCGAGAGGGTAGATCCACCACCAACCATATGGTGCGTATCGAGGCAGAGATAGAGATGCTATGGTCCACAAACAATATTTCCTCTCTGTGTTCCTCGATATTGAGAAGGCTTACGACACAATATGGTATTTTGGCATATTAAGAGACATGTCTCACCTGTGTGTGCGCGGTACAATCCTTTCCATAATCGAGAGTTACTTGTCCAATCAGACATTTTGTGTCAGTGTGGGCAGTGTTCTCTCCCAAATATTTGTCCAAGGAACGGGAGTATCGCAAGGCGGTGTACTTGGTTGTACACTTTTTATCATCAAAATGAGTTCCTTGCACCTGTCCATCCCCTGCTATATGTTCTATTGTAGATATGTTGATGACGTCCAGCTTGGCTGCATGCAACCTAGCAACGATTTGCCGAGCTTGTTTGGGGGGATGTAAAAAAAAAAAGTCGGAGCCTGTTGACTGGCCCTTTAACTCACCGTAGCCTTGTCTGCTTCATCTATCAGCTCAGTGCAGATGTAGCCGCGAGCTGAGACACACATTGTCCAACACTCTTTAACTTTTTCGTTACCACGCCTATTCAAATCGATCACCAGTGATCGACACTTTGGATCGTTGATTTTGGCATGTTGAATTTGTTTCTCTTGCTGCCAGCACTTTCTAGTAGTTAGTCCAGCCACGCAACTTTCTAAATTAGTTAGAATTTACTTGTTCTTGCAACATAGTGATTTTTGACAGACCTTTGCACAAACCAATGTGAGTGTGCTTTTGGGAAAATGCAGTTGGCTGGCGAACTTGACAGAAGTGCGTGGCTCTCATGGTTATGCCACTGAAACATCAAAGTTCTGTAGTGGAAAAAAAAACCTTCGGAAGTCAAATATCAAATTATAAGGTGTCAGCTTTGCAATCTGACAGTGTTGAGCAGTAATAATTGCCTGAAATTTATGTCAGCAATTCAATAGAGAGCTGTTGCTGGGAGTCGGGGACAATTCATTTTACAAAAAAATATTTCCGAAGGTTCGCTGCACGTATAAAGTGTGGAAATGGCCTTCTCAGCCAGTTTCCAACAGCTTTGGTTTCACTTGTATCGTTATATCACGAACAGGGCCGCATCTAGTATTTCTGGTTGCTCCTATGGCAGCAGCGTCACATGCACATAGGTGCGCACCTGGGTTGCTCGAAACTGTCTTGCAACAACACCTGAATTGAGTGAGGACAAGTTTAGAGTCTGAGGATGGCAGCACCTCAGTTTCAAGTTTTATGGCGATGATGTTTTGCATCAGCCTGAGACATCTGCAGCTAGTTTATGGGTTTGTTTTGTTTTCGGTCTCAAGTTGTCTCCTCCACAGCAAGTGCGTAGCTGCTGACCATTGTGCACAATCTTATAGCTACTCTGGTTACGTGCGAGGTCCACACGTAACTGGAGCATGGTGTTCTGGCGCCGGCTGCAGAGCTTCTCCTCACCACGAGAAGGCCACCAAAGCACATCTTGACCTTGACTACGCAGCAGCACGAAACGTTTTTGAAATGCATGCAGTATTGTTATTTTTACAGCGAAAGCTATCATGAGATCACATTGCGAGTCACGTGCGGCGCTGTAGTTGTCCTACCCCGCTGGTTTCTGTAATTACTATCACACAAAACAAGAAAAAGCTCAATAAAAAACACCAAGGACATTGTGGAATTCTAACCTTGGTCCACTGCATGCCAGCCTAGTACAGTCAAACCTTAATATATCGAACATGGATATATTGAATTATTGTTTATATCGAACGGTTCCTATATCACGGGGGAAATCGCATGCATTATTGATTTTTTATTTCGAACAAAGTTTGACATATAATGGTTATATCGTACTCGGCCACCCCAAACCGCCCGCGCTCCATTGACAGGCGGCGAGCTTTCCCGCAACTCTCGAAAGTAGCGGTAGAGCGGCGGGCGTTTACGAATGCTGCACACATCGATGGCGCCGAGAGCGCCACTTTAACGTAGCGGCATATGCGCGCCGCAGCCTTGCGGTAGAGGTTCTTGAATGACGAAAGTGAAGAGAAAAGCGCGGAGCTGTTATTGTCTTTCAATACGAAGGCACCGACACGGCTTCGCGCGGGGGAAGGGGGAGTGGGAGGTAAAGATTGAGGAGGAAAGTATAGGAGGGAAAGGACGCAGACGACTGTCTCGGACGTGGCACGCGCTACCGCCGGGAAAGGGAAAGCAGTCAGGCGAGCCGGCATGGGCGCGCCATGTGCGCGCTTTACACCCGGACTCACGCCGCAGCCTTGCAGCTTGTAGTCCTTGCAGTCTATGGTGTCAACGGCACACTGCGCACTTGTTGCAATCTCCTCCCCCGTAGCATCGGCAGGCATCGGTCGTTGTGCTCGCAGTGTTCGTGCGTTCGGAGTTAGGCCTGTTGCGCGCCGTGCGCGACAGGCCTAACTCCGAACGGCAGAGCTCACGCATGTGGAGATTGTCGCCGAAGCTACTGCTGAGCAGCAAATGAAGACTCTGCCGAGGTGCATCCTGCAAGCGCTGATGGTGCCCGCTCCCGACATTAGCTGAGGTCGCAGCTGCCTTGGCCCTTGTGCGCCGCAGTGATTGAAGGCACCGGCCTATCACTTATGGATCGCTTGGACTGTATTGAGGACGCAGTCGTCAAACACGCCATGGCCAACAAAAAGCAGGCTACTCTATTTCAATATTTTAAACCAACACAATAAATACTATGTTTGAATCTTCAAGTGAGTATTTACTGCACCACGCTTTAATGGTTCGTTGGTTGTTTTCAGCAAGCTGTTGACGCATATTTTTCGTGATTTTTTGATATCGAATTCTGGATATATCGAACTATTTCGCGATCGCCGCGCCATTCTATATACCGAGGTTCGACTCTATTCTACCACTGAGCCACACCAGTGCTTGGGACTTGTGTGCAAACTTGCCTTAGTTAGGCGTGATGTCGGGAAAGGAATCGTGTTAATATGAGTAGTAAAGAGTTTTAGAACAGTGTAGGAATATCCAGGTGTCACACAATGTGTATTGCATAACGAGTGGGTCGCCCAATGCTCCAACCCATTACAAAAGCTTGTTCTACATCACCTATTAGCTATGGCACATACGCACTTCAGGCGTAATTCTTCATTGTCATCCACTGCATGAAGCACAAAATTCGTTGCAAGTGTTTAGCGAATACCACGCTTCTTTCAAGAATGACGAAAGGATAGCATAGTGAATGCCAGCCTACTACACAGAAAAAATCATTTTTTATGGCGTAGTGGGTGCCCAGCAAGTGTGCTTCTAGCATTTACCCAAAGAGTGTTTAGAAAAGGCTCTGAAAGGCCTCTCTTCCAGCTTTTGCTATGACTGTGCTGCGAGTTTCATGCAGGCCTGGCAATTTTTTAAATACGATGGACAAATATGCAAAGAAATATGCTTTGATGCATATATTAGAACATCAACCTATACGAAGTGAGGTGTTGCATGGAAAGAGGTGACGCTAGACAAAATAGTGAACTTGATTGGACATCTGATTTATAGAGGGATCATTCGCATCAAGGGCATCCATCTATTTAGTACACCTGCATGCTGTTATCGAAAAAAAAAACACTGAAAAAAAGTTTACGAGTTCACTTGTCTCTCACCAAAAACCAACGATGCTGCACCGCATGGCATGAGCAATTACGCATCACCTTGTTTCCGATTCTCTTCATCTGTGTGAATAGAAACATTTTTGTAAATATTCATTATTTTTTTATTCTGTTGCTGGATCATTTATCCTGAAAATGTATATCCCCTTCAGCGGGCATGTGTACAATTGTACACGTAACCAAACATTTGATTATTTTTGAGCAAGGATTGAAGCAGACTAATTACAGAATAATGAAATATTTAATAATGTGCTAATTAACAATTCGTCACCAAAACTCCCATACAACACCACATCCCTTCATTTTCTTTCTTGGAATGTAATACTGAGTGCCTTGGAATCATGTCATGTCAATTTGATGCACTGGAAGACAGTGCATCATAATTCATGTCCGAAGGGGATATTCTCAATTTTCCTTGTTTTGGATATTTTTGCATATATAGCCTTTTTTATTGTACTGTTTACTAGCTGGCAACCAAAAATTATACACACTTTTCACATTTTTATTCATTCCAAAGTATTTTTCTTGCTCTAAAATGTACATTTTATGGAAAGAACGTTTCATTGTGCAAAATTTGGTGTGCTGCAATGCATGCTGGAGTATTTTTCAAACTGGCAAAAGCAATCTTCCCAAGACATATGAAAAATTACCATTTTTGTGGGGTAAGGAAAAAGTCTAGCCTTGTGCTTCTTTTTATTTTCTGGAATAGATTTTTTTTTAAGTGGCACGGAATTTACATTTACGTTTGTACCCTTTTAACAGCTTTTTGCCTTGAAGTCACAGTTGTCTCAAGCCAAGTGGAAAGGAGAGTTTGTTCATGACCTGCTAAGCTTTCCTCCTTTGCTGTGGGTATGTGTTCAAAATTTGTCCTTACTCTATAGCACTTTAATTTGCTTTTCGAAACATAGGGCAAAAAAGGAAAAGGAAAAAAATTTACTGAAATATAAATGTATCTGTGTAGACACACAAAGTTTTGTCCGTGTTACATGCTTGCAGTTTTTTTTTTTTTTTTTCAGTGAATCAAGATCAGGTTCACTTGCACCTTTTTCTTACAAACATTGTCGGTGTCATCTTGAGCTCATAGGCAGTCATGCCGGAAATGTGCTGCTACACGAGATTGAAAAGTGTCCCTTTAGCATACATGTTAAAGGCAGTGGATAAATCAATAGACACACCATACGTATACATGTGCACTTTTCGGCAAACGAGCGGGACACAGCAAAAGTTGTCAGTGGCGTTGTTGCAGCACCTACCACAGTAAGTTAGTTATAATATAAATACTGCTTATGTTACAAATAATATAAGTATACTAGGCTTGTGTAAATACCAAATTTCAGGTTCAAAGCCAAAAGTGTTTTGGTCAAATAATTTTGAATCGAATATTATATATCACAAACTATGAAAGAAAATGGGCATATTTGTAATGACCTGCAAAATATATATATATTTTTTAAATTGAAGCAAGGCCTTTGAAAATGCCATTTTTTTAGTTCAGAGGAAGTGGTAACAACATTAAATAGTAGCAAGATTTGACTTTTGGTAGAATACAAATAATAACCTGTAAAATACGTTATGTTTTAATATTTAATCCACTTAAAGCAAGTAAGCCGGTATAGCAAACTTTTAAATGTCAAAAATGATGAATCGACGTGAAGGCAATATGTTCGTTTAATCTTGAAGTGGGGCTTTGCGGCACTAGAGGTTTGCAGTAGATGTTTTCACGGCTTAGCGCCTCTTTACTGCAGTTAAATTACTTTTACAGGAAGTTACATGCGAATAATGTACGTTTAAATGTGTGCTTTCACTGTTAAGCACCCCTCTAGTGCAGCGAAAACCACCTTTACAGGGATTGCGTGCAGACTAATATACATGTATTCGTTCATTTCGAATACTTCAAATTTTTCAGTAATTTAAATTCAAACCAAAGTGAACTCAAATACTCTGATATTTGGTTAAATATTCGAGGCATTCAAATATTTGCACAAGTGTAATAAGCGCTGTTAATTTTCGTTAGCAGTAGTGTCACTCGACTGTTCTGAGCTGTCTTCTGACTTTCTCTGCACCTCTTGAAGGAACCAACTACCACTTGGAGCATGAATTGAGATAACTTTATGGATTGAAAGATTATGTAACATATTGTTTAAAATGCACTTTGTCTTTCTCAACAAATGCTGATTTATACCTTTATTTCTTCACTCAATATCACTTCTGGCACCTCTTGTGGCAAAAAAGTGAAGACCATTGTGAGCGATTAGTGACATTTTACCGATGTATGCAATTGTCTCTATATTACCAGATAAATGCCGCACACTTTTGAATTTAATTTTTTCGAAGTTAAAACATGTAGATATGCCTTCGTTTACACTGAGCAAAACAGTGGCGCCGCGCTGCCTTCACTACATATAGGATCCAATGTTCATGGGTGGAAGTATGAACATTTTTAGCTGAGAACCTGGCTGCATCCGACAACGTGTTAATAAAGTACAAATAGTGCCTCACAGCCTCTGCCTATGGCAATGCTTTGTTGGAGGAAATCGCGAAGACCATGAGCGCCTGGCTCATGAGGCAATGTAAAGGGTCCTCACGTTACAAACAGCATTTGGAAGACTTATTCTACCTGCTTTTTATATTCAAGAACTGTTGGAAATGTCAACATGAAGGTGGTTAATCACAGTTTCAGGCACTTATGAAATCAGAACTTGAGCATAAGTGAGGAGGGCTATCAACGCTTCCATTGCTTCTCAGCATTAGCATTGCTAGATGATGCCTTTATGCACTTTAGAGGCTTTTCAGATAAAAAAATACTGTTCTTAATATCACCACATGCATTGGTGATAAACCGAGGCACCTACAAGCACTACAAAGGATGAGCTTTCTGTTCTGTTGCCCCATAAAAAATGGTTTATATATATATATATATATATTTATATATATATATATATATATATATATATACAGTGCAGTCCACTTATAACGATACCACATATAACGATATATCGGTTATAACGATGGGTCGACTTAACAGTCTCATTTTATGCATTGGGGCTATGGGGAAAAACCATATATAACGATATGTTATCCACCGCATATCGGATACAACGATGAAAAGTTTGCCGTGGACGGCATGTTTCATTCAGAATAATCGTAACATTTAGATTGATAAGTTCCTCTGAAACGAACTATGTCGAGACAAGACGAAAAGTTAGCGTAGGCGAGTACGTATCTGCCGCCACTGCAGCACAGCGCCGGCAGCGTGTCCCGGCCGTTCAAAAAGCCGAGGAGAGCATCGCGAGTTGGCGCGACGCGCTACAGATGGCGCCAGCTGTGTCACGTTTTGCGCCTCGCCGCGCGTCGACCGCGGAGAGGCTGAGAGAATTAAAAAAAAAAGCGAAAAGCAAAGCGCCGCGCTCCGCGGCTCCCCGCCTTCTACAACGGCAAGCCGGCAAGCTACTCGTAGCTTGCCGAACGAAAGCGGGAAAGAGAGAGAAAATAAAAAAAGCGAAAAGCAAAGCGGCGCGGCGGCATCGGGGCGGGGCCTCGTTGGCATTCCGGCTGTGTACCTCTGGCTGTGCTTTCTTCCTCCCACTGCTCCCACCCCGCCGTCGGTCAGTCTCTCTTCCTCAGCGAACCCGTGATGCGTTCTTCGGAGTAAGAAATAGTCTTGTTTTTGACATCCTACTATCTACAATATTTATTAATTGGTGAAAATAGCGAAATGAAGCCTGGAGCTACAAAAGGTACGTCCGGCGACGATTTTTTGGCGGCAGTCCAGATATAACGATCACCGGTTATAACGATCATATTTTTAGGTTTTCTCGATATCGTTATAAGTGGACTGCACTGTATATAATGAACACACTTTTTTCAAAAAAAATCTGAGAAGAGTTTGGGGGGGGGGGGGGGGGGGGGCATTTATTCTGAAGTGCAAATTTTATGAAAACTTCTTCGGGAGGAGTAAGGAATGTGGTAATGCAAAAAAAGTTAGGTCGATTAGCCTTTTGCAATTGACATACCCATACACTGTTTAAAACCAGCTTCTTTGGTGGATCTTCAGTGGTTGATAGTGCTATCTTCTGCAAGTTTGTGCCCGTGCCGTTTGCGCACGCCATAAAACGTTTTGCGGCTATTTTTACTCGCGATCGTTTATTCGCAACAGTGGTATCTGCTGTGAACTGGAGGGGCGCCCAGAAGCGTGCGCTACGACGCACTTTGCCAACTTTGCAGCAACCTCGCACGACGACCGCAATGACACTGTTGACATTGTAGCAAGTAACCAACATTTTGCAGCAAGCTACCCCCGAAGTTTCAAAGCAAATCGTCGATAATAAGATTAACGACAAAATACGGCCGCCGCCTCGCTTCCACATGAGAAGTTCCTGAACGCGCGGAGAACAAGTGAAGCGAGAATCGGGGTGCTACAATGTTGTGAAAATCGTCACGATCTTTTCTGAGCGACAAGCTATTTTTATTGGTTTTCCTGAAACCTGCGATGCGGGAGCGACGAATGACCCTTCACGACAGTAAATCTTGTTGTCGCTCAAAGATAACGTGCACGTGGTCGGGCCTTAAAGTTTCATATTCGCACGATGCATAGAGTTTCCTAAATATACACTAGAGGGAAATCTGGCGCTAGTGTTTATGGTAGCTGCAATGCACGGCGCTTCAGCGAGCATGGGAATGATGGATAGTACACAGATTTCTCTAATCTTCATACTTCCGGCTCCTTCATACTTCCGGTGTGTTCGTGTTGCTTGGAGCTGTTTTCTCACGAAACATAAATCGACAAACATTCAGCGGTTGTGCGTCACCACTTTATTCTTTTAGGCTTACCAATTCAAATCGGGCCACGAAGTTAAAACGGTTTTTTTTTTTTTGGAACGAAACCGAAACACAGCAATAAACGAAGCCACAAGTGCGATTCGCAGCCCATCAGTCTGGAGACTAGGCAAATCCGTGTAGGGAGATATATGTATATATATATATATATATATATATATATATATAATGTGAGAGAAAGAAGTTTGTACTTGAGGTCTCATTTTTCCTTGTTTTGACACAATATTAATGAAATCTAAGAGACAATAATGAAAAAGGAAGTATAGGGGAGGTTATTAGACCGAATCGTAAGGTAATGCGAAGGAAAAAAAAGTGGGTGAAAAGATGACTTGCTGTTATAAATATATATATATATATATATATATATATATATAAGGGAAAGAAGTGTATACCTAAGGGCTCGTTTTTCCGTGTTTTGCCACACTATTAATGAGATCTAACAGATAGTAATGCCAAGGAATGTACAGGGGAAGTTATTAGAACCAATGGAATGTAAATAAGAAGAAAGAAAAGTGGATGAAAAAATAACCAGCCGTGAGCAGGAATCGAACCTACGACCTTCGAATAACGCGTTCCATGCTCTAACCACTGAGCTACCACAGCGGCCTTCCCTCCATCCACTTTTTGGGTTTATATGTGAATTTAGAAGTAGGAGTGACAGTCAGCGCCATCTATAAGCCAAGCGACGAGTGTGAACCACTCTTTTATGCGCATGTTTGGCCTCACGTAGCACGTGAAATTGTTACGAGCGGGCAGCTGATTAATAGTCCCTCGTATACAACCTAATGACACCAAGTCTGCCAGTACGAGACCCTCGTTAAATGAAATAAGGGAAAGAAGTGTATACCTTAAGGGCTCGTTTTCCGTATTTTGACACACTATTAATGAGATCTAACAGACAGTAATGCCAAGGAATGTACAGGGATGTTATTAGAACCAATGGAATGTAAATAAGAAGAAAGAAAAGTGGATGAAAAAATAACCAGCCGTGAGCAGGAATCGAACCTACGACCTTCGATTACTCACTATATATATATATATATATATATATATATATATATATATATATAGTGAGTAATTTATATCAAGTGTGCTTGGTGAATTGTCGACCATCTTCGATCATGCCAAAAAAAAAATCGTGTAGGTATATGTAAATGTGAAAAGCAGTTATATATAATTGCAATAATAAAGAATAAGAAAATTGTATTGCCTAGAGAGCTTCAAATTTTGGACAACCAAGTGAAAGTCTGTCATTCCAAATAATTTATGTATTACTACTGGTTTGAGCAATTACCACGAAACAATTTTTCCTTAATCTAAAGGTGCTACGCTTTCATGTCTATGGTAGTTTATTCATTTTTGTTTGATGTTTTTTCTTTGTCTCTGCGACGGAAATTGCAATATGTCGCATGTTTAGCGTTTATTATAAAAAGCATAATTTTTTCACCCGTAATACATTTACTTTTTCTGTTTAACATGTTTCTATATTGAATGAATAAAATACTTTGGAAGGAATCGAAGCAAAGACATTGTCATAATATTGTGACAAAGTTGGCAAAAACAGCACTCTGACTCGTAATGCGGCTCACAAAGTAGTGGTCCTTGTGAAAATATGGCTTATTTATGTTGTATGCTATAGTGTGTCAGCAAGATTTGCTAAAAGTTTCAAAAAAGTAGATTTTGTTTTAAGGGAGAAAAAAAAATTTCTGTGAACAATCATAAGGTAGTAGGAAGCTTGCTTTTGCCTCGCCTTCACTGCATAGCGTGTCATCACGAGGTTTTAGTGAGGACTTTTCGGCAGCGAACAATGCACACCCTATAGCTGGTTGTCACTTTTTTCAATTCTACTGCTGTGTAGAACGTCAACGGCAATAGTGCTTATTTACGAAATGGTATCTTCCTCTTTGGACCATCAAAGGGCAGGTTATCAACTGTTTTTTTAGTGCCAAGGGGCAGAATCATAATGCAGTTAATGACCTGCAAGACAGTATTAGGGTGTTGTGTTAGGCTTCTGGTACACGGGGTCTTAATAATAATGGCATATGTAAAGTATAATTTTTCTAAGCTGTTTTAATAATGTTTTAGGTATAGGCCGATGTGTAATCGCTTATACCACTGGTGTGCATGAAGAAATATTGTATCCTAGGTGTGCCCCGCCGCGGTGGTCTAGTGGCTAAGGTACTCGGCTGCTGACCCGCAGGTCGCGGATTCAAATCCCGGCTGCGGCGGCTGCATTTCCGATGGAGGCGGTAATGTTGTAGGCCCGTGTGCTCAGATTTGGGTGCATGTTAAAGAACCCCAGGTGGTCGAAATTCCCGGAGCCCTCCACTACGGCGTCTCTCATAATCATATGGTGGTTTTGGGACGTTAAACCCCACATATCAATCAATGTATCCTAGGTGTGAACGTTGCAGATGATTCGGTATTGGGCCCATAAATGACACTTTATTTGCCGATTGCGCTTGTCATTTAAACATTTCATCTGTCTTTTTTTTTTAATATTCTTAGGTGTTGAAAATGTTAAAAGCACGTCACCCATGCTGGACAGGCTTCTGAATGAAAAATTTTTAGCATGCTTGGACCATTAAGGAAGAGGGGTTGAAAATGTTAAAGTGCCTCTGGAAACAGTGACTGTAGTGTCATTTATGGGCACGATATTGAATCATCTTTAATATGTACACCTAGGAGACATAATTTCATCAAGCACATCAGTGGTAAACGCCGAGCCCAGTGGCAAGCCATGAACTTTCTGAAAGCCTACCCATTTTGTCATACCCATTGCCATCGTGCACACATACTTTTATGCAATGCATGCATATCAGACAGAAGTGGCAATTTGTCGCACACGAGCAGGAATTGAAGTGGCCTTCTGTGGTGCTGGTGGCACGCTAGTGCAATGCATCATAGTGCCACCTGTAGGGACTGCAGATTGCCCATATATATATACATATATATTTGTATACATATATTTTTTTTTCAGAAAGAGGACAATTGTGATACCAGTTTAAACTATTTTATTAACTCTTAACACCTCGATATGTATGGAGACTATATAGTCTTCATCTAATTAGCAATGTGAGATTGCAGAATGTACTAATTTTCTCTGTTCTAGCACACTTTTCCTCCCACAGCAACAGACAGTGTACTTGCATTGATAGCAATACTCTGCAAGGACAAGGTTTCGGAGGCATTGCTCACTCTCCTAATGACTGCGATGTATTAAACGTGAACAGTCATGTTTGTCTCATGTTGTTGCTTTTATTATGAGAGCCCCAGCTTTCTTTGAGCAGGTTCATTTTACTTCAAAGCATTTAAGCCATCTGCAGAAGTCAGTTTGCTAGGTTTTATATGCAGTGTGTTGCTCCCTCGAACAGAGTTTGTTGGTAATTAACCTCATATTCAAGGTAATGAAAAGGGCCTACAATTAATCAAATAAAGTTCCTTGATGAATATTGCTCAATGTATATTCTAATTGTTTCTGATTGTAAATTTCATTTCATTTCCATATTGCATACATTCTAATTAAATGCCTTATTTTCTTTTGCCTTGACTGGAGCAGGTTGTACAAGACTTTGTGCAGACAACAGTAAACAATGAAACACCCACACAGTGGCTTCACCGGTTAATGGAGACGCATACCAGGGAGAGTGAAGAATACAAAATCAGTCTATTGGGTAAGTGATGGTTTGTTACTTTAAATGAAGGTATTATAAAGAGGTAACAATAACTGATGATCAGGTCAAGTATAGTTAACCTCAGTTAAATGTGTTCCCTATTTGTCTCTTGTGGCACTTTGACTGGGTGAAATACTTGGAAAGAAGTTATTTCTGTTTCTTGCTGTCATCATTGTTTGTTTGCATTATTGAAGGGTGCAACAGCTATGCCGATTGTGCAAATTTGATACAACTTTTTAATTTCGTGTCACTCTGAGCCACAACCATGGAATTTGTTAAAATTGCACGACGCTACACTAACATGCTCGAATAGCCTCAAAATTTTCTCAATTGTGCTAATTTTAATTAGGATTTGAGGCCACATTGGCCGCCTGCAGCTTGGGCACCAGCATTCAATCCAACCCAAATATTACCCCAGCCATGAATAAAAATTCTTAGCAGCACAAAAACCAAGAGAGGACCGAAGAAAGCACACAGAGCACTCTGTCTTCAAGTCTGCCCCTCTTCATTGGCGCTGCTAATAATTTGTAATCATGATAGATCAACACCCTGAATCCGACATCCTTTTAACCCTAACCCCACCATGAAATAAAAGAAGAAGCAAGAACAGTCGTTCTAAAATTTCCTGACCTTGTTTTATTGTGTACAGAATTCTTTTTAAAGGCACAGGGTAAGGTAAAGTTAAAAAAAAAAACAAAATTTGGTATCTGTTTGTTTGGAACGCTAAGGCCCTCCTTAACAATATTGAGTGCCCCACACATTTGTGCGTGTCTTGATTGAGCCCAGACAACCAAGTGACTTGCAGCTAAACCCCTTTTTTAAGATTGTGCACAACCTGAACTTCCAGGCTCAACTGAATAAAAAAAAAAATCAGGACTGGTAGTTTCTCTGAGGCTACAAAGTTTAAAAAAAAAAAAAAAAAACCACAGCATATCCACGGAATGAAGGGTGGTGAGTACGGCAAAGCGTCCGTCAATTCGTCCGTGCTTCGGTCCGTCTATCCGTACATGTGCCCATTCGTGTGTCCATCCATGCGTCAGTCCATCCGTACGTGCGCGTTTGTGCATTCGTTCATGCGTCCGTCAGTGTGTCTGCTTGTCTGTCCGTCCATCCGTCTGTCCGTCCATGTATTGAACACTTCAAGTACCGCCATCTCGCTTCTTTTTTATCATATATTCATCATATACAAGTACAGCCATTCAGCCGACAATCCAAGGACTAAACGAGAGTATGTACCACATTTCTGCTGTCAGCGCTTTGTCGACACCGAGAGCGTGAGAACGAAGCCGTGCTACGTTTCTCGTAATATGCGGACATGGGGATATGTGCCCGAGGGCGAGTATATGCCACTGGTATATGGGTATGTGTCACAGGTTACGCACTACGACAACAGGGGATGCACAAGCCACGCCAAAAGGAGCTTTGCCCCTAAAAATATTCCGGCTACCTAATGAAAAGTGTTGCAGTTTTTTTTAAAACTTGTGTGGAGTTTATCGAGTCCACTTGACTTACGCATGCAAAACGTGCATTGAGATGTCATTCTGTGCAATTTATTTTTAGTTTATTAGTGCCTTTGTTGATAATTATGGCAATGAAAAATATTCTTGTGTTGAAAACACAGTATAATTGAAAATCGACACACCTCTGCTGCTAACAAAAGTGAGACTGGCAGCACTTCAGCAAGTAAACTTTGTCCTCATTCTGCGTTGCTACAAGGGCTTGATATCTGTAGGGACAGTGGCTGCATTTTGATTGATGTGGAGCTTTTACAAACTATGATTACAACTATGCCTGCACAGAACGTGAAAGAACTGTGGCACTAAAAGAGAACGCAACAGTAGTGACATCAGCAATGATGCTCTAGTTCAGATTTTGGCATGTTGTCACTGTTGGAGTTCTTTAAGGAGGCAGAGAACTTTGTGGGTACAGACGTTTCGTGTGTAGGCATGTCATGGCCCATTTGAGTGAGAGCATTACGCGGTCGTATTTCGTTGCCGAACACTTTCGCATCTGGAACGCAATAGTAAACACTTTTAAAAAGGAGCAGCTGCGACTTAAAGAAAGCGAATTAATTTTTCCTGGCATTTACCATCTTTCTGGCTCAATTCGTGATGCCAGCAGTCAACACGTGACGCTATGAGAACATAAGCTTCGATTGTACGTATATGAGGGATATCAGTAGGCGAATCGCCTCTTACCCTGTTTTGCCATCCAATCACGTGCCTGTTGTACCTTGTTTTGCATGACTGTCATATATATTCTTTCAAAAAGACCTGCATGGCCCAAATAAACATTCTCTAGGCTGTTTGGTATATCACTGAGGCACAATACTGTGTTAATGTTGGGAGAAATCGACCACCAACAACAGTATTGGGCCGATGGAGAGACAGAAGGTATGTAAGAACAAGCCAGTGAACCGAAAAGACGAGAAAGGAAGTGAAAATTCGATTGTTGTGATGAATACATGGCACGTTGCTATTAAATTGTTCAGTACATCTTTTTTTGAACAAAATATGAAATAAACTTGTTTTTCCTCTTTCAATCTCAATACTATTTCGAAATCAATTTTTTAGTTACATTTGCCCATTATCAAAATGACTTGTAAAATAGAAGGGTAATTTTTTACCAGAACAAAATGTATATCATTAAGAAGCCACTGAATTATAATTGTGAAGCTATGGGCAGTAGCTTTCTTTTAAATAAAAAGCATTTTTTTGCATACTGCAGGCACCTTTAGTGTCCATCTATTTGTCTATCTATCTACCAAGCCGCCTATATCTGGGTTCTTTCGTGATCACTCCCTTGACTTGGAATGAGCTAAAATTAGTATATAAGCGTAAGGTGGTCTGACGAATATGACTCGCTGATCATAGCATGAAGAATGTGACAATCCTGTCAGATATGTTGCCAAATCTTTTCCGTCATAGTTATGACTTGGAGAATCTGACAATAATGTCGCATATGTTGCCAAACCCTTTCTGCAACATATACACGTGTGGCACATACTCGCATACCATAGGCGGGTATGTGTCACAGGTATGCGGGTATGTGCCACAGGAGGTTGACAGTGTGTTTGTCCAGGAACGTCGAGAACACAAATTCGTAATTTTAACATGAGAGTGTTCAGAAAAAAGTTCATATCAGAATCGTTGATGCGACAAATACAAAAAATAGATATCAGGGCCCCGGCAGGAATCGAACCGAAGCATTCTGCGTGGTAATCAAGTGTTCTACCACAGATCCATGCCAGGTCTCGATACTGCTTTGGAAAAAGACACTAGTCAGGTGTAATGCTGGTGAAACACATGTGGATGCATTGCTGCACATCTACTTCTATAAACAATACATATGTGCTCCCTAATACAGCCGTCATGTCAGGGCAAAGCCAATTGTAGTTAAGCGCCATCCACTGACATTAATCTATGTAGCAGTGTTCAGCCAGGGCGGTCATCCTCCTGAGCACAGGCGCTACATGTCGTTTTGTTAACAGTCATATCGCTGTTGGTATCATTACACAAGTATAAAGATATGGTTATATAAAACATGTGCGACTTTTCAACATATGTCTGTGTCTACAACATTTGTACATATCTATAGCATCATTTTATAATGTTTTTCTTATTACAACACGGTCACCTTCCCTCCACATGTTTCACATTATGTCAATTCACGAGGTACGTTACGTCTGCCGAATTATTCCTTTTATTTGTGGTTTTATTTAAAAATAATCACATGAATTACTTGCATTGTTAAAAAATTGCAAAAATGTCAAAACTTGAAATACAATAATTCTAGGTCCATTGAAAAAAAAGATATGACGAATAAAATAGAATGAACATTTTGCATGTAATAATTTCTGAGAAAATGGGTTCTAAAAAACCCTTAAAGTACGTGAAAGCTACAGAGAATACCCTGTGCCCTTAATCCACTTTCACTGCATTTCACCAGTTCATTGTGAAAACGTGACTAAGATTTAGAAGTTGCTATCAGTACTAGGCATAACAGGATACAACACTTCTGTCTCTAATTACTCATGCACACATGCACCAGTACGAGTACTAGTATGATAGTTGAAATTAAAGAAATTATTGGCAGTCATTCAGAGTTGTGTATGATATTTCTTTGGCCCTGAGAAACAAACAGAAATGTATGCGACTTTTTTTTTCTTCTCCTGGCCACCTCCACTTACACTTACTCAACGAATCTCCTGAATTTGAAGGTCGCCAAGTTGGCAGGTGTGCATTAGCATTTGCAGGGCCTGTCAAATGATTTCATAAGTGCTGCAAATGCTAATGTACACTTTATTGTTTGCACTGTGGAGTGGTTCAACACACTGGTTTTATTGAAACAGCAGTGCTCGTGTGCATTGTGTAGAAGTTAGGTCATCATAAATGGTTTGTACTATTTTTGCCGTTTCTAAAAGTAGTAATCTTTTGTTATACTGCTTTAAATTTGACACTTTGTGGAGAAAAAGCAACATTCATACAACTTCAAGAATTGCTCTATATCATATTTTGGCTGTTGCAACCCTGATCACTGCAAATGTACAGCATGTACAGATCTCATCGATTGAAACAGGACAATTTAAGGCTAAGTAATGCACATACCTTCATTCCTATCCTCTTCAGTTTGAGTCATATTGGCGTAACTTTGACTTAAACGCGTATAGCAGAGCTGACATTACCATTAGAGACCAGATTTGTCACGACATGATGTGGTTATTTCAAGCAGACAGACAGACAGAAAAACTTTATTAGAGCAAGTGTGTTGGACCCCTCGGGATCCCTGGACCACCGCGCGGTCCTGCACCACGTCTACACGGCCATGCCTCTTGCCGCAAAGACTCAAGCAAATGCACATACCACTCCTTATATTAAAATATTTGATGTCGCATTTGAACTTGTGAGTACTGTACATCCATGTTTTTCATTTTATTTATTTTTTTTCGGACACTTACAGCACCCATTGGGCATTATTGTAGGGGGAAAACAGAAAAGAAT